GTAAAAAATAAATAGAAAAGAAAATAGACAAAAGAATAGCAAAAAACAATTAATTAAAGATGAAAATAAAAAGTAAAAAGATGTCACCGAGAGTATGACGAGTTTGAGCTGAGGCGTGGATCAATCACTCTCTTTAGGACGTTTCGTGCCACTGGTGCAGCAAATTTTTATGATCACACCGCCCCCAGGATACAATAGCCGAACCTCCTTGTTGTATCTTTACAAGTACTGCATTCTTGTAAAGAAAGCTCTACCCCACCACCTTTTCCTTGCCTAAAGAGAGTTTGTATATTGTGTTTGTGAAATAAGAGTGTAGATAAAAAAAAAAATTGCATCAACCTTTGGTACAACGGCGGTTGCCTTTTTATAGGCTTTTCCAAATTGTAACTGAAGTTTATTGCTTTAAAAACATTTGAAAAGCAGAAACGCATAGCCCTTTCAATAAGACAAAACGCATGGGTTCTTTCTTGAAAACAAAAAACGCATGGATTCAAGAAACCAATGAAACGGAAAAAATTCTTTAATTAAATGGCTGTTACCATTTCCTTTTAAAAAAGCAAGAAGGCATGGGTAACTCACACAAAGTTGATTTAATGAATTTGTAACCGGCTGGAATTGATTTTCTGAAAATAATGGATTTGTAATTTTTTAATTAAAATCTCCAACATAATATTTAATCGATAGAAATTTTTGTCGATTATAAGAATAATTTTGTTAATTATAAGTATAATTGATAAACGTAACTGGTAGCTAACTCTGTCAAACAAATAAGGGTTGAAAATAAGTATAATCAACAAAAATACTTTCTATTGATTATAATTGCTTCAATCGATAGGATTTCTATCCATTAAATAAGGTATGAAGTAACTATATTTAATATTAAAAATAGTATAATAAATAGAAATTGGTTTGTCGATTATGTTTCTTACAAAATGGAAAAAACATAATCAACAATTATTTTTATCGATGATGATATGCACACCTGCCAGTTCAACACCCAACTGAACACATTCAATAGAATATTAGTTTTTTGTGGGTTAGGAGTGAAAGGTTGAAATAGCTTACTCAGCTCATTCATTTAGCCATTCTCTATTCATGGTTCCAAACATACTGCAAAAAGAACTCTAAATGTGATTGGTGTATATCTTTAATATTTGGTTAGGAGTTGAGATTTGATGCTTAGATTACAAAATTCACTTAGAAGAAAATTGTGTAGATATATCAACTCTCCAGCAAACATGCGTTAAATGTAATTCCTCATTTTATTTAAGTTGCATTTGCATGAAAAATCACAAGAAGAAGAAATGGAAGACAGAAAGGTTGGAAAAACAAAAATCCAGACTTGTATTTTCATAATTAGAGTTCTTTTTCTTTAATCTCCTTCATTCAAAAATCCATCACATGGTATCATGTAAGCACAAATCCAGATCTTTATTTTCATAGGATAGTGATTGGTACACACTCAATTCAACATATTGCACAACATACTCATTAAAAAATCACTATTTTTGGTCTAAAATTAAGGGCAAATAAGTTTAAAGATACAATCATGCAAACAGGATGTAAGAATCGACTAAATCGATTATATTTTTAATGGTTGAACTAGAAGTGTATCAGAAAATGTGTTAAACCAAGTGTGCACCAATCATTTTCCATTTTCATAATTTGAGTTCTTGTTCTTTAATCTTCTTCATCCAAAAATCCATCACATGGTATTATATAAGCACGAAAATTCTTTTCAAAAAGTAGTTATATGGTGTTAGAGATATTCATTAGCACAGAACCTCAATCACAACACAAAATCAATCACTAGCTATTAGCTAGCCATTAGGCACATTTATTTCCCAATTTTTCCTTATTCAATTCTGTACCGTTAGCTTAGGATCTTTGCCTTAGCTTGTCTAGCATTGTGTATATATATATATGTACTTGAATTCTTCATGAAATATATACAAGAACATTACTTTTTCTCATGGTATCAGAGCAGAATTGATCCTTTAGAGTTTTATTTTTGCTGTCCAGATACAACTGGCCTTATGGTTGAAAAAGAATCAACGAAAATTCCCAGCAAGGTCATGGGCACCTTAAATCAGTTTTTGACTTCTCCAGCTCTCTTCGATTCTTGTAAGGAATTCATGAATTTGTATTCCTGTCTTAGTGATATCTGTAGTAAGAATATCTTGAACTTATCTGATTGGATTTTAGATAGCGGTGCTTCTAATCATGTGACTGGTTATAAATATAAACTTGAACAATTGCAACCTTTACCCACCCACAATTATGCCAAAAGTCCTTGATGGAAAGCTTGTCTCTATACATGGCATTGGACGAGCATCTTTGGCTCCAAATATTACCATTGACAATGTTTTGTACATACCTGAGTTTACATACAATCTTATATCAGTGAGTAAGTTGAGTAGGGATTTAAATTGTGCAGTAATCTTCTCACCTACATTTTGTGTTTTACAACACCTAACAACAAAAAAATTGGTCGGAATAGGTGAAATGAACAATGGTCTTTACCATTTCAAGGCCATAATAGAGACTCTTATTTTAAATGCCATTGTCTCATTTTCCATGGAGCTTTGCCACCAAAGATTAAGGCATGCCTCATTTGATCGTATTTCATTATTATCTAAAAATATTTCTTTTGACCCCAAGTCTTTTCCTAGATGTTGTGATCCTTGTCATCGGGCAAAACAAACAAGAAATACTTTTCCTCTTGAAAGAAAGAGAGTTGAATCACCCTTTCTTTTAATACATTGTGATATTTGGGGAAGGTATCAAACGTCCTCTCATTCTAGAGCACATTACTTTCTTACTATTGTTAATGATGACGCTCGTGCTACTTGGGTATTTCTTACGAAATACAAATAAGAAACTTATCAATTTCTGACTATATTTCTTAATATGGTTAAGACTCAGTTTGGTTTGTAGGTAAAGCAAATAAGATCCGACAATGGACAAGAATTTCTCTCTAACTCTATGTAGGCCTTCTTTCATGAAAATGGGATATTGCATCAAACCTCATGTGTGAATACACCCCAACAAAATGGAGTGGTGGAAAGAAAGCATAGGCATATTCTAAATGTTGCTTGAGCTTTGCGATATCAAGCCAACTTACCTATTTCCTTTTGGGGAGAATGTGTTCTCACAGCTGCCTACCTTATCAATTATACACCCACACCATTACTTGATGGTAAAGCTCCATATGAACTTCTCTTTGGTAAGGCACCTTCATATAACCACCTAAAAGTTTTTGGTTGCTTAAGTTATGCAAAAGATCACTCCTTGCCTACAAGTAAGTTTTCTTCTAGATCTAAAAAATGTATCTTTATTGGATACCCTCATGGTAAGAAAGGATATCGTATTTTTGACCTTGAAACTAAACAAATATTTGTTTCTCGTGATGTTATTTTCTATGAAAACATTTTCCCATTTCAGGACACTATTCATTTTGCCATGATGAATTAAGAAAATCCATGCCTTTACAATATTTTGATGATGATGATGCATTAGCCATTCAATTTAGAAATCAAGGAAACAAATATGCAAATCCTAGCTACATGCAGCAAGACCCACCAGAAGTTGATCAACCCACCATCATACGGCCCAAACAGGCTTGCCCAAGCAATGTTGATAGTGTTAACTCAAGTGTTGATGCTTGCAATGCCGCACATGGAGAGGGAGACGCAAACCCAACAATTGCTAGAACTTTTGATGCAAGCCATAGTAATGTGGCCAATCCCATTAATTTTAATTCAAGGCCACAGTGCGAGAAAAGGAAACCAACCTACCTCATAGACTACATCTTAAATGGAGTTCAAACAAACACCAACACTTCTTCAACCTCAGGAACACCGTATTCTATTTTTCATTTTGTTGCATATGATAAATTTAGTCCTACTCACTGCTCTTTTCTAGCGGCCATCTCCACTAAAGATGAGCCAAAATCCTTTTCTAAGGCTATCCAAGATCCCAAATGGAGACAAGCGATGAAAGTCGAAATTGATGCTCTCGAGAAAAATAATACTTGGACTTTGGAGACGTTTCCTCCTGACAAAAGACCTATAGGTTGCAAATGGGTCTATAAAATCAAATATAATGCTGATGGGACAATTGAAAGATATAAGGCACGTCTTGTCGCAAAGGGATTCACCCAAGTTGAAGGCATAGATTACCATGATACCTTTGCCCCTGTTACTAAGCTAGTTACCATTCGATGCTTACTAGCTATTGCCGCTACTCGTAATTGGGAGTTACATCAATTGGATGTTCACAATGTCTTTCTCCATGAAGATCTTAATGAAGAAGTTTATATGCAACTACCTCCAGGCTATGGGAATAAAGGAGAACAACGTGTTTGTCGCCTAAGGAAGTCCTTATATGGACTCAAGCAAGCATCAAGAATTGGTTTGCCAAATTTGCTTCAGCTTTAAAACTGTTTGGTTTTCAACAATCTCTGAGTGATTATTCACTTTTCACATATCGGCAAGAGAATAATTTCTTTGCCGTACTAGTTTACATTGATGATTTGATTATTGTAGGTAATAATTCATCTCTTTGTCATAAATTGGAAGAATTTCTCCATACAATGTTTCAAATCAAAGATCTTGGCAAGCTCAAATACTTCCTAGGTATTGAAGTAGCTTAGCATCCCTCTGGAATTTTCCTTTGTCAACGAAAAGATACACTTGACATCCTTATTGAAACTGGAATGCTTGGAACCAAGCCATGCCCTTTTCCTATGGAGCAAAAGCTTAAACTCACTCATAGTACCAGTTCCCCTCTATCTGATCCTATGCAATACAAGAGACTGGTTGGAAAGCTAATATATTTGACTATAACTCGCCCTGAAATTTCATACGCTATCCATACTCTTAGTCAATTTATGCAAACTCCTCGACAACCTCATCTAGATGCAGCAATGCGAGTTTTGCAATAATTAAAATCCTTACCTGGACAAGGGATTTTCCTCTCTTCATCAAGTTCTTTACAACTTTTAGCTTATTGTGATTCTGATTGGGCTAGTTGTCCCACAACAAGGAGATCTACAACTGCTACCTCACTTTGCTTGGTAACTCACCTATCTCAAGATCATCAATTGAAGCTGAATATAAAGCTATGGCTTCCATTGTTAGTGAACTCCTATGGCTCAAAGGCTTGCTCAAGACATTAGGAGTTGGTACTTCTCAACCAATGCAATTACATTGTGACAATCAAGCAGCTATTCACATAACCACAAATCCAGTCTTTCATGAACGCACAAAACACATTGAACTTGATTGTCATTTTATTCATCATTGGATTCAAGTTGGTGTTATTAAGACTTCTCATGTTTGCTCCAACCTACAAGTGGCTGATATATTTACAAAGGCATTAGGAGGTGATCAATTTCAATTTCTTCTTTGCAAGTTGGGCATTAAAGATTTACATGCACCAACTTGAAAGGAAGGTGTTAGAGATATTCACTAGCATAGAATCTCAATCACAGCACAAAATCAATCACTAACTATTAGCTAGCTATTAGGCACATTTATTTCCCAGTTTTTCCTTATTCAATTCTGTACCGTTAGCTTAGGATCTTTTGCCTTAGCTTGTCTAGCATTGTATATCTATATATATATATATATGTACTTGAATTCTTCATGAAATATATACAAGAACATTACTTTTTCTCATATGGTGTCCATGAGAAATTAAGGCTTGAAAAAAGCATGACAGCTACAAATTGCAAGGGTCCAAAACCAACAATATGAACTCATACTTGTGAATAATCTACATTTACATCCTATAATGGGTTGCTAAATTCCCTAATTTCCCTTTGCAATCGGTGTGAGAACTACCATCCACTTGATCGAGCATATATAGCATTAGAGGTTGCATCAAACCAATTGAGGTTACAGCCTTGACTTGATTGCCTACAAGGTCCTTGTTAGGACTTTCATTCATCAGGAATGAGGGTGAGGGTTCATTGGAGGGCTAATTTCCAACATTGTTAGTGTGAGGGAATGACTTCAAATTTTTTGTTCTAGACAAGCCAAGGATAAGACTTATCAAGAATATATGTTTATTTTTTTCGTTGAATGGTGGGTGTGTTGGCCAATTACTGGGTTCATTGGATACACCTATCATTTCCCTTATTAATTATACTAGTACAATTGACAATCATTGACGGTAGATTATAGTTGCTTCAGCAATAAATTAAAAATTCATAATTAAATTTATAATTTTGCAGTTATTAATTAAATTATAAAAACATTAAATGAAATTCAATGATAAAATCAATCAATTGCCGCAACAATATATATATATATAATAATTTTGAGAATAATTGAAAACAAGAACATTATTCAAATACTATGAGAACTAATGGAAAAACAAGAAAAATGGCAAGTAATTTAACTATAATGAGATAAAAAAAATCTGCAAAAAGAAAAGAAAAGATATTGTTATACATTATAAGATTTTATTTAAAGAAAAGAAAAAGACATTGTTATACATTATAAGATTTTATTTAAATAAAAGGAAATAAAAATATAAATCAAAATTAGTATGAGAATTTACCTCATAAAATAATTTCAAGCTTAATAATATGCAAAAAATAAAAAAAAATTATTAGTAGATCAAGTAAAAGTTATTGGATGATAAATGAATAACAAAAATAAATGAAAAAAAAAAAAAACACCTTGAGATGAAGGAATGAAAGAAGTTGTAGGAAAAGTAGAAGTATGGCAACCAAAAAAAGAAAATAGGAAAGGTAGAAGCAATGATGAAAGAAAAGTAGAAACATGAAGGAAAGATAAAGACATGCAATGCATGAATTAGAAAGGTAGAAGAAAAGGAGGAGGATGAAAGAAGAAAGAAAAAGGAAAATGAAAGGAAGAAGAAGAAGAAAGAACAAAGGGAGAAGAGAAATTGTGGAGACACATCTTTGGGAAGGAAAGGGGGAGGGGAGAGGAAGGAAAAGATGAGATAAGAAGACATTTGCTGGTTTTGTTTTTGTGTCCATATATTTAGGTAAAATATATTTGACAAAAATTTTGTTGGTTATGTTTTAAAATAGTTGTCGATTATGTTTTGAATATGATCAGCTGCGAAATTCAACTTTTTTTTGGACGAGGAAAGCGGTATGAGTATAAATGACAGCATATTATGGCTATTGGTACATAACATCATTGTTGGTTATACAATTATAACCAACAACAATATGGTTGTCCGTCATATATTAATTTGTTTGTAGCCTTCTACCATAATAGAAAATTGGTGCGCAAATTCTTTATAATAAAAATTTTAGTACCATAAAAAAAATTAACACAAAAAAATGTGAGATTTTTTTAATTAATATTATATATTGATTAATATAAACTCCAATACTATACATTTATTGTTAGTTAAATCATTATATATACACAAAATATATATTAAATAATAACACATGAGGGTTTATATAAAAATTTTATGCACTACACATGAAAATATATACCTTAAGCATAAAATATCAATATTCTTAAGTAGGAGGTGATAACTGACAACCATAAAATATCAATATCCTTAACTTCATTTAGAAGATTTCTCTCCGAAGTTTCTTGCTTGATTGTTGGATGTCTCTTCATAAACATACCATAGCTAGAAAGAGGAGGAAGCAGATTTGGGAAAACGAGGAAGTAGACTTGCAAAGCTTACCCAACACGATGCCCAAGATTTGCTATAGATGCAGGCGGGAGAGGTAGCTCCATTCGCTAGAGATGGAAGCAAATCAAGAGGAGAAAGAAGAGAAAATAAGAGGAAAAAGGAACCCTATTAGTGTATAAGAAATATACATAACTGATAGTCATGGTTGTCGATTATTACAAGGTTTAATATAATCAACACACAATTCTGTTGATTATATTAATAATTAATTAATTAATATAATTGACAAAAATGTTGCTATATAAGAATTTTGTCGATTATGTGTTAAAAAAACTAACATAATCGACATACAAGTATGATCAACAACTTTTCTATGGATTATATGAGTATAATTGACAACTTTATTTCCATTGATTATACGCTGATCTCTGGTAGTCTTCCACTCTCAATTATCACTTCCACTCACAATTATCTAGTACTCATTGCTACCTAAACTGATCATTATATTCTTTTTCTTCCCAAACTAATTACAAAATTCTAAACTAAAAGGCTAGATTTGTTGGTAAAAATTGATAAGGAATGTTTTCTTTCTTAGGTCAATGTTTAACTCTATGCTCATACTTAATAGGAAAATGAATTCCAACCTCCATTAACTTTAGTATGCCAAGGTTTTTTTTTTTCAAGTGAGGTTATTGTTATAACCTATATTGTTAATAACATTTTTTTAATACAATTGCCTATTATATCGTTACATTATATATATTTTTTTAAATTTTATATTTTTTTATTTTTTAATAAATTTAAAGGTATAATAATCAATTAAAATGAAAAAAATGTAGCATTAATAATTGAGAGTATAACAATAATGTCACATATTTAGACTCAGACAACCTTAAAGGAAATTTAATTGCAACCTCAATTAACTTTAG